GCTTGAGCTGCTTGTGTAAAAGCTAAATCCAGCCTTCTCAGAAAGAAAGGGTGGGAAGGGTCAGATGATCTGTACTGGAAAAGGCAGAAGTTACACTTTGGCCAGAGACAGAAAAGGAGGCGGATGCTGATGGCATGGAGCCATAGCTTCCTGCCATCAGCGAGCTTCCCCTCAAGAGGAGGTACGGATGCTCCTTTTGGGAATAAACAGCTAGGTAGTAATTTATATGTAGACAATCTGTTGCTGAGGACAGAGTAACTTTCCCAGGCCTTAAGATAAATTTTCCAGGAGAGACACATGCTGCATGTAAAGATGAATGAATACTGTGAATGCTTTCCATCTGAGCATGTGAAACTTGAAACATCCACCTCAAAGTATCCCGGGGAGCTGTGTCTGAGTGAGCATTCTTTTTATGTTTAGTTTTGCTTCTGCTGGGTGATAAACACCCTCAGTTTCATTACTAGTAACAGAACAAGGTCTCTGTCTCATTTTATGGGGCAAAATTAGGACAGTGTTTTGATTCCCAAAGCTATTTGTCGTTAAATGATGTATTGGGTTTAGAACTTGGTTCACCAGATGGGCAGGGGGGCTTAGGCTCCGCATAAGTCCTTTCAGTGTTACGCTTTGCTGATGGCAGCTCTGCAGCAGTGTGAATGTTCCCCAGCACCTCAGTGTCTAGAGGTTACTGAGATGTCTCCTACGTAGCTGGCAACAGCAGATCTTCACAGACTTTAGTGATGGTCAGACCAGTTAGCACAGACTTTTTTTTCCTGGATTTTACTAGATGTCTGAAATGAGCAGCTGGAGCCAATGTTGTTGCTTTCAAACACTAACCTAGGTCTGTGGTCTAACCCAGGTGCTGAACAGGAGGTTGCTTGAGATCCCTTCTAGCTCCATAACTTATAACTTCCACAAACTTGTGTTTTTAGTAAGTGATGTTTTAATTAATTAAAAAAAAAATCTCTTTTTCTTTTTTCTTTTTTTTTTTTCCCTAGGTTGCTACCAGACAGTGCAATATACCGTAGAAATATTGACAGGATTGCCATGGCAGCAGAAAGGCCGAGCTCTGTAGGAAGAAACTGTCACCTCAGACTCATCCTGGACCCCCAGCCAAAGCACCTGGGCTGCCTGAGCTGGGAGTCAGAGGGCCAACCCTACAGCAGGTTCCTTTCTTGGAGGAGGAGCTGCTGTGGGAGGTGGAGGTCAGGAGCCCCCAGCCCCTTGCCGGGAGGGTTAGTGGAAATCCATGCAGGTTTCTACTCAGGTCTCTCTGGGCTCTGCCAGAATTTAGTTGCAATAGAACATTTCCAGTAAAATTTCCTTTGAAATTTCAAGTCAAATGAATGGAAACTTTCCATCTATAGCACCAGCTAGACCTCTTAGTGAGTAATTGCTGACTAGCTTTAATTACTATTATGTCAGCCATTGAGAACTAGCCAAGCATGCCAGGCTTTACTGAAAACTAACACCAGAGCCAGCTGCTTTGTAGCTTATCTAGGCCTGCGGCCTTTCTTTCAAATAGATGTTGTTTAACATCATCTTTGATTATTTATGGACTAGAGAGGACTTTGCCTTCTAATGACTCTCTGTTGTTCTTCCTTCTTCCAAATCCAGAGCTGAAATATTTATTCATTGCTCCTGTTTTTTTTTTTCTATATGACTTCTGGCATTCTTGCCATGTCCATTTAACAACACACTTCTATGACCACTGAAATTTCTAGTACATTTTCATTGCTTTCATTTTTGTCCTTGAAGACATACCTTTTCCTTTTCTTTAACTCAAACCTTCTGCCACAAGAAATTTATTGCTCAAGAGCCATCAAGACAGAGCAAAGGAGGTGCTGCAGGGAATTAAGGATTCCTGACCACAAGGGAAGGAGAAAATCAGAGAGAACATCCATGTCACAGGTATTGAGCAAACGTCTGGGCCTGCTGTGCCTCCCTCATTAGTGGGCAAGTTGCAAACGCTGGCTGGCCGGGTCTGTGAACGTGATTCTCACATGAGCTCATTGGTGCTGGAGCCGAGCGCAGACCAGTATATTTTGGGCTATGATTATACACCAGACAAATATGTAACAGCAGGAAAACCTACAGCTGCAGTGATAGGAAATATTTATACAGAGCGGCACCATCTGGTGCGTGCTCCTAACAGAGACTATACTTAGCAGCTGTACTGTGTATCCTGGCTAATCCCATGGTCCGAAGAAAGAGGCATTCAGTATCTCGTAGATAACCCCACTTTTAACACCAGCCATTCTCTAGCTGGTGATGTCTACACAGTTCCATGAATAGGTACAAAACTGGGTACGCAGAAGGATTACTATATGAAGGGGCTGCCATCTTGCTCATCTACAGATATATGGATACAAAAATTCCTCTTTTAAAAAGGGATACAGATTTAGTGATGTTAAGGCTGCCAGTTTCACTCTTCTTGATCTTCAGAAAAAAAATATTCTCTTGCTAGCCTAAAACAGAAGAAAAAAGATCTAGGTTCTTTGAAAAATTCATTTATTATACATCCATTGATGGTTTTATGATAAAAATCCTCACAAGGCTTACTGTCAACGTTACAAAATGAACAAGAAATCCAACATCCACCATTTCCAGCCATGTTAATAAGTTATTGTGCAATACTATCCCTGCTCGCAGTGTGTGTGCAGCAGCTGCATATCACCGTGACCAAAATATTTTAACTTGAAAAATAGACATTTTACAGATTTTCTACCTCTACTTTGGACACTGACTGTTTTGTACTGTGAAAAGGCAGTGAGTTATGCCATTGTTCCACAGTTTTTCTGTTACTTTTCTTGGTCATCTATATTTTAAGTATGCCACGTGAGTTCCTAAGTTTCTACATGCAGCTGCAATCATTGTACGTGATTTTGCTCTGAAGCAAAGAGGAATTTGAAGTTTAGATCTTCCACACATGTAACTCTCAGTAACGGTAAGGAAGATTGGTGTGTGAGTGTGTTGCTGTTAGCTCTAGTCCATGTTGAAGGTCTCTTCAGTAATAATGCAGCATTATTTGTATTCATCTACTTAAAATAGAGCAAAATATTATTGGCACCTTTTTCTTTAAAAAATGCAAAGCCAGATTTAACATTCATGAGGAAGTGTGCCCCAGTATAGTAAGGTTACAGTACTTAAGTGAGCATAAAATACTGCTCAGAGAGATAGCAGTTGGCATGGAATATGTATTTCATATGCTTTTCCAGTTAACCTGTACGTATAAACACATTTATGCATGTGCGCACACCCACACCCACGTAGAATTTCATATGAAGCTGAGGGGTGAGCAGAGACAACTTTTTTGTACTTTACAGCTTTCTGAGATCACAGACGTGTCCTCAACAGGTTTCTGAGTTGGAAGACGAAAACTGCAATTACACGAGCCTGGATTTGTGTAAGTGTGTTAAAACCAAGAGTTGCGCCTTCTCACTTGTTCTCTCTGCTGTGGAGTTAATGTGACTTCTCTGACTGCTTTTCCCTGGTGTGTACAGAGAGTATATGTAGTGAGTACTTCACAGCCCAGCCAAAATCACAGTCTGGAGGGTACTGAGTGCTAATTAAGCATCCATATAACACGGAACTTAACTTTTTTTTTTGGGAAACTTGGAAAACTCCATACCATGACACACTTGAAATCATCAGCAATGTCTTTTTCTTTGCATACCTTAATTATATATGTTTCTGAAGGTTAACATATGCGTAGACAAGCTAAGGTACAGCAACTGAGCAAGTTACCCAAATATATGGTGTACAATGGTAATACAGAACTTTGAGGCACATATTAAAAATTCTCAAGAGGAAAACATCTTGAAATTTATTGTAACAGAAGTAGTAAACATCTGAATGTGTTTTTACACAGGTAACAGTTAGGGCTTGCTTCAGATATATTTCAAACACTGCTGAACAAAAATAAACCTTTTACAAACCCATAAATCCAATAGGTTTTCTTTAAAACTATTAAGTGTGTGGCTATGAAAACAGTGACACATAAAAAAATTTCAAAAATCATTTACCACAGGATAACTTTTTTATAACTAGAGGAAAACAAAAAATTATATACATAAATACATGTATTTTTATATATAGCAAACTGTAGTTTCCTGCACTGAACATTTATCAAACACACAAGTACTGAACAATACTGGATAGGGTGCTTTGCCACACCTTGTGGTCTCCTTAAATTCCTGTGAGAATGGAAGACAAGTTTCTATGGAGGATACATCTTGTTCAGTAATGCAAGCTCACACAAGAATTAGAAAAGTAACGAAAATCAAAAAAAAAAAACACCACCACAGAAGAAATGCCTGATATTTCCAGCACGGACGTCTTTAACAGTAAAACACAAATGCTTAACTGGTCTTCAGGCAAATGACCCAGCGCAGAGTCTGTGCCAGAGAGCTTTATTCTGGATGACAGCCGTCCCCTGCCAAGGGTGACGAATTTGAGCAACAAATCTGACGCTCAGCTTTGTCCACTGGCTTGTCAAAGCCATCATTTTTCTGGTAGACAGGTTGGTAGGGAGCAGTCACCTTTCAGATACCCTACAGAAACTGTACCCTTTCTCTTGGAGCTGGGCAATCACTCCCATGAGATTCAGAGAGAAACAAGGCACTAGCTGGTTTTCTGGCCATGACCTTTCCAGAGGTCTAGGAACTGTGGTCATTAACATGATGGGAGAAGTTGAAAAGGGTGACACCAAGCTATTTTTGAGGACTATGTACAGAGTTATTTTGGTTTTGAAAAAAGAAATCATTCACGCCACACATTTCATTTCACCTGACCAGAAATGCTAAGTTGAGGTTACTAACACAAAAATAATGGTCCTTAGTGAAAAGGACACTGTAGGCTCCACTGGGTTCTAGTGACCTTACCAGAACCTGTCTTCAAAATACTGCAGTTACTAGCTACAAATAACAGTCCTATTCAGATGTCCTTTGGAGCACACAATACAAATATTTATGGTATAAAAAGCAGTTGGTTGTCTCTTCAGGTTAGTGTTGTCCGGAACTTGGGGAATTATAAATCCAGTCCATTACGATAAGAGTCATACTCACAATCATGAAGATTATGCCAAGGATGAGAAAAAGTAGAGCCTGCAATTGGAAAATGAAATTTTGTTAGCAAAAAAAATGACTGAGCAAACTGTAGTTCATAGACTGTCCTGCTGGAACTGCAGTTATGCAACACCCAGGGCCTGAGCTTGAGTCATTCTCCATGACTAAAGCCCAAGTAATGGCATACAGGGCTATGTGAATCAAAGCTAGTCCTGTGTGAATTTTAGTCCAAGAGAGCTAGGCTTTACAAGACTAGATCTGAAAAAACCCACTTTTTTTACTATGAACAATAATATGAAATATAATAAAAAAGTGTTGTGTTTTTTTTTTTTAAATGGACCGAATTTCAATGAATGATCATTGTCTCTGCTATCAAGAACAGCTTCAGAGTTAATGCTTTTCATTCTTATTAGACAAACAGGTAAGTCCCTCTCTCTTCTCCGAAGAGAATTCTGTGATTCAGATGTATTCAAGTGATTCAGATGCTTAGAGACACCCTTTGCTTTAGTGGGACTTTAGTTTACCGTTATCTGTCTGCGTTTAATATTCTGCCTGCGTTTAATATTCTGCCTCTCAACACAAAGTTTAATATTGTATGCAATGTCAGTGCAGCATGTGAAATTCTAAATGTGCCTAACACACAGCAACAAGAAGAATGGACAAAACCCCACGAACAAATACGCACCATCTCTCTGTAATAATAGTTCCAGAAGTCATTGTGAGAAAACATTTTATGTTAACAAACCTTTTCTTTTATATTTGGAGTGTATATCCTTTGAACTTCCACTTCCATGTTTTTCGTGAACATGTATACATGTGCATCTGTTTACATTATGTGCCTGCATGCTTATTTCATCAATGATTTTTCTGATTAAATTTTCAAAGGACATCTCCTTGGTGATATTGTTAAATGTGCAGCTAGCTATTGATGTTCAGGATGAAAGTTACTGCTGCAGCAGTCTAGCACAATGTATAAACACGTGCTGTGTGAAATGATAGACCTTCATATATGCCTTCTGTAGGTGAATGGATCCATCTCAGTGGAGAATTCACTACTACTTAATTATCTCTTCAGTACAACTTCCTTCTTAACCTTGACCTCAGATCTTCTTGTTAATCCACAGCTGGCCTTCTAACATGAACCAACAGCTCCTTATATACTGTCTTGGTGTTGTTTATGGAAGTGCAGGTGTTAACTAGAGATTAGGCTGGGTTAAATAGCTAGACACTCACCGTTATGTATCATTAATAGTAGGGCACTAAAGACTTTGGCTTGTGAAGCCTGGCTTTCCATGCTAAGGTGAATCACTTGTATTCTGAGTGAGACATGACCACTTATGAGCAACTGGCAGATGTTTTAAGTCAAAGATCTCTGTATTTGTGACCAGGTGAATGAACACAACCTCCCACTCTTCCATTTGCAGCTGCTGCCAGCTTCCTTACCCCTATCTTCTGGGGAGATCTCAGGGGTTCCTTCTCAACAATCCTCAGGTAGAAGGCAGAAGGAAGGATGAAAATCAGCATCGTAGCAGAAGAGGCGCCTGGAAGAGAAAGCAGAGCTGAGTACCATGCTGCCTGACACAAAAGAAAATGGTGCACCTGCAAAAGAGACCCGATCTTCCAAGCCCAGCTGTTCAGAGGTCTCTGTCTGTAGATACCATTTGTACAGAGCTGTAGGTGTCCAATCACTTATTTGAGTATTAGGGGCAAAAAGAGGCACTTATTAACAATGGGATTTGTTCAAACAGATGTGGCTATCTGTGACATGGACATCTGCATGTGAGCTGGTGAAGTGAGGAGAAATGGGCACTCCCAGGGCATAACGACCCTGGAAAGCAGGTGTTGAAAAGAGGATGAGTGTCCTGGTAGTGCCTATTCCTCTCAGCAAAGCCAAGCATGGTGGCCCCGGAGTAAAAAACGGGGAAGAGCAACCTGGCTGCCTGCCTACATTATAACATATAAAAAGGGCAGAAACCCAGTGGAGGTGTCTTTCTCAAAGGCATCTGCAGCCCTGAGTCCCCAAACAGCTCAGAACCATCAGGGGCCAAACACTGACCAAAAGCAAGAGGTGGGGAGGGAGAACTCTGGATTTCAAAAGAAACGTGTCACTTTTCTCCTTTACCTAACACCACAGCTTGGGTATCAAGACATTTTGTGCAGGCCATAGATGCTTGAAAATCAAAGGTGATTTAATTCTCCATTACAGGCACTAAATCACAGAATCACAGACTGTCGGGGGTTGGAAGGGACCTTGAAAGATCATCTCGTCCATCCCCCTGCCAGAGCAGCATCACCTACAGTAGGTCACACAGGAACATGTCCAGGTGGGTTTTGAAAGTCTCCAGAGAAGGAGACTCCACAACCTGCCTGGGCAGCCTGTTCCAATGATGTTTTTGTCAAAATAGGACTTCCTTACCAGTTTTCATACGGTGATTTTTGGATTATTTGTGCCTCATGCAAGACAGCGATGAAGTTGGGTAGTGTTTAGCTTTGTCTGTCAAGTGTTTGGGAATTTTTGTTTCCCTTCTAACTTTAATCTGTGTTTATGCTACTTTACTTAGTCTTACTTTTACTGTAAGACTACTGAGACTGTCATTCAGCCCATGAATGTAAATATATTGTGGAAAGGATTAACAGAATAAACAGAAAGTATTTATGAAACCTACCAATAAATCCAAAGATGTCTTTAATAGTCGGGACAAAAATTACAAGCAGGTTATTAAAAGCAAGAATTACTGCTGCAATCAGGAAATGTCTTATCCAGCTGAATGGTCTTTTGGGAAACAGCAATGCACTGACAGATGAACGGATCTGTAAGATGAAAACCAGCAGGGAAAGTAAAACAGCAATTAATTTATCTTTGCTTTTCACTTTTTAAAAATGATTTATGCTAGTTACTTTGCTGTGAGAAATACTGACTGAAGAAACGTGTCTTCAGTCTTTGATTCCCTTAATGTAATCTCACTAGGTTTTTGAGAACTGAGTTTGCAGTTTAATGCAGAAACTCAGATACTAAGTGTAGAAGAAAGTCAAGTAAACAGAGTGTAAAATCAGGGACGTGAAAACTGTTCAACTGAAAGATGTTAATATCAGCAAGAAAACCCTCCAAAGAAATCCCCACTACAAATACTGATCACCAGGCAAGAAATGCATGGGTGAAATAAGAGTTGCTGTATTCCTGAATCTGATCTCTCTGAAAGTTCCACAGGAGTTCTGCATTTATTTTTGTGAAAAAAAGAGGAAGCTGTCACTTTACTTTCATTAAGTATTTAGATATACATATATCTCAAAATAAAAGTGTGTTTTTCAATAACACTTGGAAATTACAATCCTAAAAGCTGTTACAGAGAATCCTTTTTCTCTGCTGACTTTCTCACTCAATACAGAGAGAGTGTTTTGCTTTTTCATCAGCAAAGATGGTAAGTAGGAAAAACGTCAAGAGCAAATCCCTTTTGTGGCTGGAGATAGTGTTACTGTGAAGTACCGTGATTAACTTAAAAGATTTGTAATGTAGAAGTTGAACAAAAATGGTTTTATACTAAAAAAAGCTCAAAACCCACTTCTATTTGGTTATTTTCAAATGAAAACTGTTTCTGGACGAGTTAAGCAATTTAAGAAATGTATGGGCTTCTGTCAGATTTCAAGATCATAATTTGAAAACACAGTATTAATTTTGCTTTTTATGTTTTTTAGGTTGCTGTGAGCCGATAATGAGAAGAGGGAGGCTGATGACAAAAATTTTGTTCAGCCCCTCAATTGCTGCAAAATGGCTTAATTCCACTGAAGAACTGCTGCCTACAGTTCACTTACTGTCAGCATCTTGTGCATTATTCCTGC